TAAAATGACACCTTATTTAAACTCCATCTCTCTCTCTCTCTTCACTTCTCGATGAGTTTACCAGCCCAAGGGTTTAGCTTGAGCTCGAACACGGGCATACCTTCTTACGTGTGAGAGAAAGATAGAGCTTTAGAGAGAGAAAGAGATGTAATTTGAGTTTTAGGGAGAGAGATGGAATTTTGAGAGAGAGACGTTGATGTGAGAGAGATGGAGTTTGGATTTTAGAGAGAGATAGAGTTTGGATTTTAGAGAGAGATGGAGTTTTGAGAGAGAGAGAGACGATGATGTGAGACAGAGAGATGGAGTTTTAGAGAGAGAGAGATAGAGTCATTTCATAAGTTGTTGAGGTCAATAATACATTGTCAAAAGGGATTAAGGGGTTTGAATATAGAAAAGATGAAATCTGTTTGCTTACAAGTAGTATTTTCAATTCTTGGATCTGATGAGATATAAAAGTTAAAATAGGGGATAATAGGATATTTTTTTAAAAAAATATTGTAGATCGAGCAAATCTATAAAAACTTGAAAATATTGAAAATTGATGGTCCAAAAATGTGTTACAAGATGTACTATTTCTAAAAATTGAAATCCATTTTTTTCTCATGTGCATGCATCTTGATGTCGAGATGATCAATTTGAGGATATTTGCGCATCAAAACAGTCTATTCTAGTGAAATTTTTGAGGTGGGCTCTAATTTGATTGTTTAGGGCCTCGGCTCTATATAAACTTTTTCCATTATCAATTCTTTGCTAATTGCTGGCCTTTAACTTTATCATTTTATAGCTACTTTTATGTAAGTGACTTGCACTTTTGACATTTAGATTGTTATTTTTGCTTGAAATTATATTGGATTTTAATTATGATAATACTATGATCCTTAAAATATAGCAATAAATTAATGAGAAATTTACTAAGATACACGATAGTTGACTGATTTGCAACTATTCAAACTCATGTGTTTCTTGATCATATTTGAAATTAAATCAAACAATAAAATCAAAATATTGAATAATTCATAAATAATAGCTATTTTGATAAATTTCCTTTTTACCGAGATATCATCTGTATTTTTTTTTTTAATTCAGTAGGGAGTTACATGCCCCTACCCATTTTTTCAATCGATTAGGGAGTTACATTTTGAAAGTGATAATTAGGGGTGTCAATGGTATTTTTAATAGATTATAACTCCCTACCCGTTTTTTCAATAGATTAGGGAGTTACATTTTGAAGGTGTTAATTGGGGGTGTCAATGGTATTTTCAATAGATTAAGGAGTTATATTTTGAAGGTGTTAATTGAGGGCGTCAATGGTAGAAATGGTAAAAATTCAATAGGGAAGACAAGTATTAATTGCGAGTATCAATAATAGAAATGGATACCACGATGTGGTAACCGGAGGTAGGGATGCTACCGCCGTAACCCCAACCCGTTATCTATATTAAAACTTATAAAATATGAATAAAACAAAATTCTCCGATATAATCCCCTAGATTTCATTGTCAAATTAGTTTTAAGATATAATCCCCTAGATTTCATTTTCAAATTAGTTTCAAATAAGAGGCTAAACTAAAGTATCACGCGTTTGAAAAAGTAAAAGTTCAACTCCAGTTCCACGTGGAGGGTCCAATAACAAAGGAGAACATGCCGTGAAGCATCCACTCTCTAAATTATTATTTATAAAACGACCCCCCAACCTTATGCGAGTTACACATTGACTATAATTTAAATGACAATTTTACCCCCAATCGGCTCGTGCCGCAAAATTTGTAACAAAAAGGATGTTTTGATGTTAGAAAAATCTCTAATTGATGAGATGTATAAACATGAAAACAAAAAAGATTTTGAAGTCTTAAAAAAAGTGTATTTTGCAGCACATTTTCTGGACTGTTTATTTTCAAAATTATCATGTGATTATAGATCTACTTCATTTGAAGCATTTTAAGAGATAAAAATTTTATAATTAAAAATAAAAATGGATTCACCAAAATTACATCTATGATAAAATTGGGAGGTTCTTTGATTGTTTAAATATGCACCCTTTTATAAACCACACACCCCTATAATATATTAACTTAGTGAGAATGAAAAGCTCAAATTCACTAGAAATTGCTTCTTCTACTTTTTTTCATTTTTCTTTTGGTGTCGAAAAAGCACAAAATTATCATCTCATCTCAACCTCAACAATAATGGATCTACAAGGGAATCTTAAGCTTCAAAAATATTGTACCTTGTACTTTTTTTATCTGAACCATCCAATTTCCAGTGTTCATCGATCCGCTATATTTGCACCATAATTGTAGTTTAAACCTTCATAATAAGAAGAGAAAATAAATTTGGAAAAGTATACAATGAGACCATTTACCCTTGGTACAAAGAGGTTATAATTAATATTGACCATTAGATGTGAAATTGGGTAGCTACATTTATTTCATTGATCAAACTCAAAGTTCAAAAGATTTTTTTTTGAACTTTGTGACATACCTAAGCTATCAGATTTCACATCGGATGATTATAACTAAGTGTGACCTCTTGTACAGAAGGTAAATGATCTCACTCTATACAATCCCAATTATATTTTTTTACAATCCCAATTATATTTTTTTAGCAGGCTTATGCGGTGCAGCTTTAGGTTTTAATATAAATCTCAACCTAACTCTGACCATTACTTACTAAAAGCTATTGTGCCCTTTCATTGTAGGCCCTCACAAATTAAGGCAATCCTGCAAAAAGATATGGCCAACTTGCCACTAGAGGATAGGGATTATGTCATCATAAGAACTAATTATATTCTAATCAAAGGGCTTGGCCTTGTGCATTATGATGCTTAAAAATAGTAAAGATTGTAACTTAATGACGATTGAGCTATAAAGAAAACCATGGAAAACCATACTATAATCAAAATGTGTGGTCAAATGAAATTTACATCTATGATATTTGTCCCCAATCTAAACACTATTTTTAGGGTTAATATTTCTAGTGATACCAAAACAATCTAAAACGGTGCTTCAAAATTGGACCTGCTGGGTGAAATGGCATTTTGAAAATGTGGTTTAGGCCGATGAACCATCAATTTGGATTGGCGAATTGGATAGATTCTTCGGTGCGAGAATCAATAAATAAAAAATAAAAGTAATAGTAAAATAACTAAAAATATATTGGCATAAATAGGGAGATTGGTGCAATCCGGATTGCCCGATTCCCCAATAGAATTGGGCTAATCCAATCGAGTCAGACTAATTCTCAAATTTGACAAGGAACTGGTAAGTAGGGACAATTCTTGATCCGGATCAATGATACCTTATCCAGAGTTTTGAAAATTTTGAGTTACATTATGAGCCTAAAAGAAACCATACCTAAGAATCACAATTTATTTTAGTGAAAATTATGTATTAATGGCCGAACATTTTCTAAATTCAAGCTACTAATAGGCATATGAGCTTCCAACTTGATTCTATGTTTTAATATTAAAAAAAAAAAAAATCTTTTTTTTTTTAGCATACCACGGGTGACGCATTTATTTATGTGGAAATTAAGCCACCATTAGAATCATGAACTTTTACGTTGAAAAGGAACGTATACTTTTTCATCCTCAAGAATTGTTCTCTTTTTGAGTAAAATATAGCAAGTAATAGCAATACAACCTTCTAAAGTTTAATTTACTCATAGGCACACAATTTTCTAAAAATTTAATCCACCAATAGCTTTCATTCGAAATAATCATAGGTGCTTCTTTACACTCAAGGTGATGTTACCATGAAATAAAAATATGCAAGCTGACGACAAAGGTGAAAAAGAAAGATCACATATAATATTGTCATGAATGAGGACATCAAAAATCAAATGAAAAAGAAGCCATACAATTCTCAAGAATCAAGAGAGAAGAGGTTTTTTTATTGAATTTCTATGACAAAGCAAGCCCCAAGCAAAACATATTTTTAAGGAAATAACGACATTTCCACTCCATCCACCCACCTTATAATATTCCAAAATTTAGAGGTAATTTGCTTGTGATGAGATCATAAATTATTCTCATTCAAATTTTTGTCCCCGCGTTGGGAAACGAAAATTCTTTAATTTTTCCATCGTATAGGGCCGAAGTTATATGTTAACTACCGTACAAAGGAATAAGTAATATGAGACATTATTGTCGACTAATTTCTATCAATCTAATTAAAATACAATCACGCCAAAGCCCTATAAAATGTACAACGGGAGAAAAATTGTGCATTTTGACAATACAACAGAGTCTTCTCAAATTCGTTGTGCTTCGGCCTTCTGATTTTAAGCCTAAACCGAAGCGACGTGAATCCTAATGATGCCGCTTCAATTAGATTCGATCAGATTTGGACTCCTTTAGTCAGATTTGGGTATGCTTCGAGCAAATTTGGCCGCAGCTTCAGCCCAAGAAAAGTCGTATCTACATAAAAGTATTTTTTTATTTTTTTTATTTTTATATATTGGTGTTGTCGCTTCGGTCAGAGTCGGATCTGTTTCGTGCAGAATTGTTTGAAGCTCTGGCTTCTTTGGCCCAAACAAAAAAATATTTATACAAATAATATTTTATATTTTATATTTTATATTTTATATTTTAGAATTTTTTATTTTTCATTTATATATATATGTTATTTATTTATATTAAATTGTTAAAAAATCCGAAGTCACCTAATTGCTTCATTTTTTTATACCAAACTGAAAAATACCTCGAAACTAGTATGACAAGATTAATACATCGTCCACACCACCAATAATAATAAATTAATAATAATGATGGTGGTGATAATTATTATTATTATTATCCTTGCCATTAGTAAAAAGAAAATGGTAGGTTTGGTCATTTTAGGGGGAAGAAAACAATTGCTGACCTAAGCCTGCCGTACGGTGAACATGCGATGTGTACAAAAAACCAAGATTCCCATGCCATATACAATCCCCCATATGTAAACATTTTGCTTTTTTTTTGGGAAATAATTTATGGACATTTTCCTTTCCTTATAAATATGCATATGACATCGTGCATGAAAATGGCGAGCCCCCCCTTCAAATCCGCCTCTCCATTAACGCCCCTCTTCTCTCTCTCTACTTAGCCCTTCTCTCTCTAAAACACCTCCATCTCTTTAAGTTAACCCCTCCCCCTCCTCTCTCTCTCTCTCTCTCTCTCTCTCTCTCTCTAAATATCCTGATTTCTGGGTAGAGTCAACAAGGTTGGGGAATGGGGTTCGCTTTGAGTTCACAAGGAGGGGTGGTTTTGGCCGCTGCCATGGCGTTTTCCGGCACCATGATCCTCTTAAATAGTCACCGGAAAAAGCTTTTCGATGAATCTCTGGCTAATCTCCGGCCTTGCATCTCCTCTCGTAAGTGGTTTCCTTCCCTTCGTATCTTAAAAAGTGGTTTTCGGGTCAAACCCACAAAACTTTTAGATAGATAATTCCTTTTGCTCTTTTCTTTCTGTTTATAGATTTTTTTTGTTTTCATGGTTTTATCTTTTCTTCGGATTTGTAAATAATTTCAAGCCACCCCAATAAACACTTAAACAGAGTTTCTTATTTCTTTTACTGTGTTCATTCTGTCATTCTATTTTCTATTTCTTTCTGAGGACTGTGTTCATTGTATATTGAATTCTATTGGGGTTCCTTTTAGATGGGATCATTTCATTTGTTTAGTGTTTTCAGGCCACCAAGAAAGCTCAGGTGTAGAATTCTCACTTCTCTGACTGTTTCAAGACTATTAGTTTTCTTTTTCTTCTTTTTTTGCTGTTTTTCTGTTTTTTTTCCCATATGTCGGTGGTTTCATTTCCTCTTTTTAAGTGTTTTCAGGTCATATTTTTTAGTGAATTGAATTTATTTCTTTTTTTTTTTTGGTTATGGGAAAGGAGAACCCGAGTCAAAATGCGAGAGTTTTCTCCTCATATAAGAGCTTGATATGTCTGTACTTAATACTAACTATTTACTGATTAAGCTAATTATTATTCATAAATTAATAAATTCAATAAAATTCAAATTCAAATTAAAAAAATACAAAGAAATTCTAATTTTATTAATCTAAAGAAATAGAATAGCAATTCAACAGTAGATATATTGGTACTTTTTCTTTTCATGTGCCTTCTCCTCTCTCTTTAATCGGCTCTCCAAAAAGCTACTTCAAAAAGATTGGAAAAAAAGTATTGATGAATTTTTTATGTTGCTTTTTATAATTCCTTTTAGAGGACAAGAGAAGAGAAGGAGAGAAGAAGAAGCAGAAGAAGAAGAAGATGATGATGAGAAAAAGAGTTCACTTTGCAGAGGATGTAATGGAGCCAAAAGGAGATAGCAAAGAGTTTAGAAGGAAGCACACCATGGCACCAGCCTTGAGAATTCATGAAAATAAGAGAGAAATAAATAAAAAATCAGCAATAAATGAAGTGAGTAACATGCCAGCCAATTGGAGAGCACTGTACAGTGGAATTCTAAGAGATAGGTCACAAAGAATGGCATGTATGTACTGATCATACATGCATAATATGTGAAAAATATTATGCATTTGTTTTTGTTTCTATTAATGTATTATTGATTGGTTTTTCTTTTCTCATGGCTTCCTTTATTTACTTATTTCATTTTAGATCATTATTTTATTGTTTTAGGGTTGCTTTTTTTTTTTTGGCCTTTCTTTTTTATATTAAGTGGAGTTGGCCTTCTTGTTTTACTAGGCTGTTGAACTTTACATTACCAAGGAAAGGTGATAAACAAGAAGAAAAATTGGGGCTTTATTCCAAGTTATATCTTGGTCAAATTGCTGTAGATGACTGCAAGAAGCCAAAATATTTCATAAGCTAGGAGGAATGGTAGGACCCTAAACTTTGGGGATTTAACATCTTCACCCTATAGACTAGTCTTAATAGAACTTTTTTTTAAATCGCACACTGTTTGCATTTTTAAGAAAATCATGTTTCAAGATTGAAGAGGGACTGTCGAGTTTTAAGAGGATGAAAATCTAACTATTAAAAAAACATAAAATTTAAATTTTTTAATTTGAAAATAACCATCTAGTGATTTTGAAAATAACCATCTAGTGATTCTCAAGTGGTTCTATAATTTAAAATTGAAAAAGTCTTTCAAGTAGGTCATGTGCGTGAGAGGATAGATGTGCAGTATGTTCCTGCAAGAGAATTTATAAGCTTAGTAAAAACTATCAATATCTAAGAAAGCAGTGTAAAGGCTAAATGGCTCCTGGTAAAAATAAAAAAATAAATATATATTTTTTTTTTATGACAGGGTTGGAAACCAAGGTCAAGATGATCTTAAATAGTGACAGCTACATCATAGCCACAATTAAACAATTTGGTGAGTTGACAATATTGTTACAGGCAAGCAACAACTATATTTATCATGTGAAAATAAACTCTATGATGATATTATCATTAACTCTCCACTGCCTAATTGAAAATCTCCACCACTCAAATTTTTTCGACAAGTATAAATAAATTACATATTTGGATACACATGAAATTGATACATAAAATCCACCCGGAAAAATGGTTGGAATTTGTTGTATTTTCCGGTCAGTATTCCCCAAAATTTTAATTTTCCTTTCTCTTTATAAATAACTTTTATTTCGTTGAATAAAAATTAATTATTATGAAATAAAAAAATTGTCTTTATGGGTTTGCAGTGTATACTTTTCAACATGGAAGTTTTTAGAAAGTGCTCCAAAATAGTCACAATACAAATAGCCACGTGTCACATGCTTGTAACATGTCACCCAATTCCACGTGGCACGTTATAGCCGTTGATTGGCCCTTGAGTGCCACATCATCATTGCGGAGCAATTATTTGTGGTACTCCTTACCTAACATAAACTATATTACTACTTTATTGCTTTTTTTGATGTGACACGTATGCTCATATACATTATGACACGTGGATCGAAATATATATATATATATATATCAAATCCTTTAATTTTCTTGATATGTGGCGAGCTTCTAGAAAGATCTAACCGTTAATTCGAAGGGTAGGACTATCTCATCACAAATATCATTTGCTTTTGATTCAACTCCATAAAAAACAAACAACTTATAATTGAAAATTGAGAAAATATAGATAAGTCCTTTATTTTTATTATTTTCTCTTTATCTTTTAAAACTTTTTTGTTCTACACAAGAACTTGTTGCCGGAGTATTTGGTTAGAATATAATTTTCAATTTTTTATTATGAAAAATGGATTATATAAACCAACATGATTATAATGAAGTCTAACCCACACTTAAAATTGTGTGTAATTCTTGCATGCACGAATAACTCATCGGGGTGTTGACTAAAATGAAAAGAGACTGTTTACAAAAAGAGATTGTTTATTTTTTTTACAAGGAAGCCACATTCATTATTGTCTCTTAGATTTTAAAATAAATGGGTGGTTGTAAGAATATCATTGATTAGACATAAAGTTTGAAAAAAAAAAAATTGAAAAGCTATTCAATTTAACATCAATAATTGTGATTTTTTTATACAAAAAGTAAATAGTCTCAAATGATCTCTTTGTAGACAATCTGATTAAAACAATAAACTTACATAAAAAAAAAGCTAGAAAAAAATTGGAGCACATAATTCTAGTGTTTATTGTGGACGCAGGTCATTGATTTGGAGGGCAAAATGTTGGCACGATGAATAGGTTGCAAGTTGTGTGGGTAAGACAAGGAATCAACAATCATCATGCTTGCAATCATGCGTTGCTAATGACATGCCATGCATCTCTAGCGACGTGCCATGTATCTTTAGCAACGTATGCCATCGGGCCCCAATAACCCTAGATTTATGTTTATAGCTTTATACGGCTAAGGCTGATAATTTACCTGGTTTGGATCCGAAATCTAAAAATTTAAATACAAATAAAATCAAATTTGAATATAAATGGATCCGATCCAGATCCAACCTAGTTATTAATATATCATATATTATATTATATCTATGTTATATAGTATTTTTTATTATATATTATTTTATAGATATAAAATAATATATAAAATTATTTTTTTGATCCAAATCCCATATATACTATTCGGATCCAGATACGGATTCAAATCTTTTGGATCAGATCAAATCTAAATCCTAATCCATCTATATTTTTCAGATCCGAATCTGGATCCCAACCCATCTCAGCCCTAGATAGGGCCTTGCAACAGTCTGGGGGAGGGGAAGGGGCGGTTGAGGGTGTGGGGGAAAGGAAGGGAGAGGTTTAGTGGGTTGACAGTGTGCTTAGGGTGATATCAGGTGTGTTTAAGCCAAACCAGGTGGGTTTAGGTTAAACTAGCTAAGGTTACATGGCCTTGGACGGTGTAGCTTGATTTGGGAAGGTTTAAGGTAGGGATTTGGTTGGGATTTTTCAAATGTCTTTGTGATATAGAGAGTGTGGGGTATAGTAGTCTGTAGTGCGCTATGGACTATTTGGTTTGGCAATCCACAAACGGTATTTTGGGTTGTATTAAGTCATTTTCCTATGGGAGTAGGAAAATCAAGGTTGGGGACTTTCTACTCGGGTATAATTAGGCTTAGGTCTTTACGCTTTGGGTTTAAGGACTCATAAAAATATGTTAATTCAGAGGGGAGTGTCTACAATTGCTCCTTTTCGACACTCATGTTGTTTTAACACGGGCATGACGAATATCACAAGATAATATTTGTAGGACTCATAAAAATATGTTAATTCAGAAGGGGGTGTCTACAATTGCTCCTTTTCAACATTCATGTTGTTTTAGCACGGGCATGACGAATGTCACAATATAATATTTCCCGTAATTAATGTGCATCGAAGTTTTCCATGCAAATTTATCGATGGGATTCAAGGAAATAGAAGGTTGTAACAGTATCGGTACAAATGCACAAGTACTTCAAGATTTATAAAGAGCAGTAGGTCTAAAATCCAGTAAAAGAACTTGTAAACAAAAGAGTGGAGCTCGAGTGTATTTATAAAGAGAGAAAGTGCAGATGAAGAATCATGACTCTGCTATTGTCAATTTTAAACGAAAAAAATAGTTCATCAATTGCAAATGACATACAACTAGATACCTAATGGTTACACTGTTCTAAGGTGACTCTTTGGGTTCAAGAAATCTACTTTGACTCATGCTTTAAAACTTAATCAATTCAAACTTGGTAGAAAGGAACGGGTTCTGTCGAATTGTAGTATATAGGAAAATAGATCTACAACACACAACTTCTCCTCATACAACATCAGTAAAGCCGGCTTGAAATTACAAAAAAATCCATAAAAGAACTAAGAAAAACTTACTATATACGACAATTTGTAAAAGGAAATAAGCCAAAATAGGGAGAAAGGAAATAAGCCTTTTTTTTTTTTTCTTAATAAAAAAAATACTTACTTGAAAGCCCAGCACTTAGAGTTGGCGGCCCAAATTATATTAGCAATTGAAATGTCTTCATCCTCACCCCTAGGGGGATTGATTGGAATACAATAAGTCACCTAAATTATTTGAAATACAAAATAACTCAAACCTAGAGATTTATATGAAATCCAAAATTAATAAAGTAAAAATTCAAAATAATTCAAACCTAAATTTCAATCTCTTAAAAATTATAAAATAGAAAATAAACACCTTTAATTACATTAGATTTCTAGAGAGAGAAAACCTCTTAATAATAGAAACCCCGCCCACCAGACGTTAAACCCAGGTTGAAGATTGGAAACTCCCTTAAAGAGAAAAACTGTAGCTTGAACTCGTATATACTAAAAAGAGAAAATCCAATCCCAACCAAGCCCAAACCTCACTTGAGCTGAAATCCTAGTAAAGACAGAGAGCAACCATCCACTCTATGATATAATCTGGATGGTTTACGAGGATCTGCTAAACTGGATCTAATATTTTAGAATATTATATTATCAAATATATTTTAGATATGAGAAATATATGAGTCCAATGATCCAATCATATCCTTTAAAATTCAGATAACTACCTGACAGCTAAATTCTTAAAATTGTAACTCGAAAATTCCATCTCTCCATTGTAGTACTTTGTGTGTATTCTTATTTCGTTTCTTTCTTTGATTTTTTTTCTTAGAAAAAAGGGAGTTATTTTCTTTCTTTCTGTTTTTTTTTAAACAAAAATGGGAGTTAAAAAAGCAACATACCTGAGGGCGACGGACCTGACCATCAAGTCATTACACTCAATGTCATAAAAAATGATGGCTATAATATATATATATAAATTAGTTTTTATAGTTATTTTTTATTTTTTTTTAACTTGAACGGTAACCAGGGGAGTTACTCGGACTTGCCTGAGTAACTCGGCTCGGTCAAGAGAGTTGGTTTTGTAAACACTGGTGTGAACCATGAAGAAGAATAAGAGGAAAAGGTGAAGATATGGATTAAAAAAACCCAACACCTCTCTCCCTATCTCATATTAAAACCATCTTTTTGTAAAACCATCTCTGTAAACTATCTCATATTAAAACCATCTCTGTAAACTATTCCCATTATCAAATACCTCCCCCCCCTCTCTCTCTCTCTCTTCTGTGCAAATCTTGGGGCAGTAGATCGGAGGAGGAGGGGATTTTAAAGGTGAGTAAAAGTTATGCTAAGATCAAGGAGGAAAAAGAGTTGTAAGGAAGTGGGACAAGCGGGGTTATTAGTATTGAAAGAAAAAGTGTTTCAGAATGAACCCAAGTTTTTTCTTTTTTTTTTTCTTTTTTTTTTTTTAACATTATCACATGAACCCAAATTCTCTCTCTCCTTTACAAAGGGTGCATTGGGTATACACCTTCCTCTTTCCCAACTTTCCCTTCTTTTCCTGACGACAATGAGTAAATATAGGATAAAGGGAGGTACCAAGTAAAGATTTATAGGACTTGAAGATGGTGAAGCAAACCAGAAGAGAGAGGTTGCATGATGTTCCAATAAACCTATTTTAAGTGGAGATGTCATGGCCCACACTCAAGTTTCTATTCACTTCCCCCATAACCAATGTGCAGGTTAAATATGTATGCAAAAGATGGTATTAATGGTTCTTTTCTTCACAGGTTAAATATGTATGCAAAAGATGGTATTAATTGTTCTTTTCTTCACGGTCCTGCTCCATTATCAATCACCAACCTAACTCTATTGGTGATACTTGCATGATTATTGATCAGACAAGGATGGTCCCACGTGCTCTTGAAGTACCTTAACCTCCAACAAATTTGAAAAGTATTTACTAAAATAATTATCATTATTAAAGCATTTTTTTAACTAGTTGGGGTCGGCTACATGAATTATGGTCCACTATTTTTCTCAATTAAGGGGTCATACCCTTGCGAGGTTATAAGTCTTGATATATTTTCTCACTACTTTCAACTATGTCCTTTTGGGCCTACCTCTTGTCATTGTTTAGCCTTCTACTTGATCTAACATGCACTTTTTAACAGGTGCAGTACTGAGTCTACACTACACATGGCCAACCCACTTAAGTTTATTTTCTTTCATCTTATCATTTATTAGAATGATAAA